CTGGAATGCCAACATTGGCGCAGTACTTAACCGTTTCTTCAGAGTTTAGAAAGCCACTTCCTGTTCTTTATTTCATTCAAAAACTCTGTTCTTTCTCGTGAGTTCATGGAGGCTACTAGCTACGCCTGCAAAATTTGGAACGAATCGTCTATAATAAGTACATAGTCCAAGGAAACTCCGCAATTCATGTAAATTTTTAGGAGTGGGCCAATTTCTTACTGCTTCGATCTTTTCATTAGCTGTGCAAATGCCCTCCGTTGCCACTTTGTGTCCTAAGTAGCTTACTTCCTTTTTGAAAAGGGAACACTTCTTTGGACTCAGCTTCAGACCAGCACTAGCTATCCGTTGGAAAACCTCTTCCAAGTTCTTAAGGTGTTCATCGAAGCTTTTACCCAACACGATGATATCGTCGAGGTATACCAAACAGGTCTTCCAGTGTAATCCTTTTAATACCTGTTCCATAAGTCTCTCAAAAGTAGCAGGAGCGTTACATAATCCAAAGGGCATAACGGTAAATTGACATAGACCATCTCCAATGCTGAAAGCCGTCTTTGCTTGGTCTTCTTCGTTTACCTCCACTTGCCAATAACTACTTTTTAAATCAAGTGTTGAGAATCATTTTGTGGCTGATAACGAGTCAAGTGTGTCATCGATTCTAGGTAGTGGATAACTGTTTTTCTTCGTTACATCATTCAACCTTTTATAGTCCACACAAAATCTCATGTTGGCTTCCTCAAGACCTATTTCGCAATTTATCACGGCCTCAATCTCTTGACACTGCCCTAATATAGCTCCTTTGCAGAGTTTGATTGGTAACTTGCACTCATTAAGTACTAGGCAGGGTTTTGCCTATAAGTAAGTTTGGTGTAGATTCTTTTGTGGCCTCAACAATCCACCACTTGTTTGACCCATAGTCTCCATCTGTTTTTGCCCAAATAACTGCTTCTGATGTTGGTGGAATCTGCTGGCTCTCTGTTGTTATCACTCGTCTAACGATGTTTTTATTATCGTAACCGAACATAAGTGGCACTTCCATATTTCTATAGAACATAATCCTGTTTTTCAAGTAAATTTTGATTCCTTGATTTGCTAGAAAGTCTACTCCAATTATGACTTCGTCAACGATATCTGCCACTATAAAATTGTGTAACACGGCTGCCTTTCCAATTACGATCTCGCGCGTTACCTTTCCGAGAACTAGGGTATCTTCTCCAGTTGCAGTACGCAACTTTGCCCCAGCTAACGGTCTCACTTCTTTTTCAACTAGATCAGATCGAATTATGGAATGTAATGCGCCCGTATCCACAGTCAGTATGCGCTTTTTACCGTGTACATAACCGCTATCGGTAACGTTACTCGTATTCCTGCTTATTTGTGAAAAGGAGATTACAGGGATTTGCTTGCGGGAGCCAGCCCGTGCCCTTTTCGGCTGGCTCGCTTTAGTTTAACATTTGCTTGATCTTCCTCAGCTTTGCGTTTACGTCCAACTGGATTATTGGGCTTGTTACAGTTGCGTGCAATATGGCCACTTTTTTCGCAGTTGAAGCATTTCAGCACACCATCATTTTTTTTATGCGTTTCCGTAAGTTTTTCCAGTGCTTTCTGCATGTTCTCAATTTTTTCAAGTAATTGGTTCACCCAAGTGTGTTCCTCTATTTCTACTTTGTGAGCTTTAAATGTTTGATTGCAAAGCAAAGATGCAGTGTCCTGTGTCAGAGCATACGAAACGGTTTCTGCAAACGTCAATTTTGGACATGCTAATGCAGCGAAGCGTGTAGTGTTATTTCGTATTCCATTGACGAAAGTCTGAATTTTCGTGTCCTCGATGTATTAAATGGATTTATGTGCATAAGCTAAGTGAGCTAATCTCTCAATCTCTGTAGAAAACTCCTGCAGATACTCATTGGCTTTCTGGCGACGATTTCGCAACTCGATTTGAAAGATCTGCTTCCTGTGCTCACTACTATGTCGTTTTTCTAATGCACCCATCAACGTTTCATAACTACTTGCCTCGCAGTTCGGAATGGTCTGTAATATCTCTGCTGCAGAACCTTTTAATGCAACGAACAATGCAGCTACTTTATCCTCAGCGTTCCAATTATTTGAAGATGCCGTCTTTTCGAATTGAAGCTTAAAAACGTGGAACGGAACAGTGCCATCAAAGGATGGAGGTTTTACCTTGGCAGAAGCTGACGACATAATTGGCCGATTTAATTGTTGCTCACGGAGACTCTCTCAACTCCTCCACTTCAGTTTTAATTTTATCCCGCTCTTCCGATATCTGTGAGAACGCTTCTACTATTTGGGAGGTCACCTGCAATATCCGTGCATGCTGCTCTTTCAACTTTGAGGACACCTGTGCTGATATACGTGCATCTTGCGCTGCGAACTGTCCTTCCAAACGCGCTGACAGTCGCGTTTCCATTTGAGACATACGTGTATCCTGCTCTTTAAATTGTGTCGCCATTTGCGTTGACATCTCTTTCCCCATCTGCGATATTGCAGCAAAAACCATGTTTATGTCCACAATCTTTGACGAGAATTGAGCCTCTTCCTTTTCTTCTATCTTTGTTCTCTCTTCCTCTAAATCCATGTGAAAGACATATTCCTCAACATTAATGTTTCCCGCCTCCTTGGTCTCTCTCAACCGTGATTGTAATTCAGTTTTCAAACCATTTGTCACCAAACTACGTTCCTCCAGCTCCTTTTTCAGTTGTGGAATCTTTAAATCGTTAAACTTGGCCATTTTTAAATAATTATCTAATTGGGAATTTATTTGACAATCCCACTTCTGACACCAATTGTAATGGATTTCTCGATAAATCGTCTAACTATAACTCACTCTTGAGTTCGATCACTGGATTGTTCAATATAAGTGCCAATAAGCTATACACTTATCTTTATTTCCAATTCCAACAACTTAACACTTGTTGCTCGCAATTCGAACACCCTTATTAGAACTGTGTCTGCTGCACAATCCGGCAGCCCTTATGTAGTAAATGTTTAACAAAAGTTCGCTACTAGGACATTCTAGCAACTACGAATTCGCTGTCTAGTTGCTTCTGGCAGTTTATCGTCAATTCTGATTCTGGTACTCGTGTTCGCCACAATACTTTAGTATTCGTTACATGGAGAATTATCGGCAATGAATCAATAGTTTATAATAATCGATGTATGGCTTTCATCTTAGTTAGAAATTCGTGATATAGTGTAGTATATGTTTGGACGGACGATAATAGTTAGACTTAATGGTGCCTTTGTTTACTTCTCCCTACACTAAAATCCCGTTATCACAAAAATGAAAATAGGAACACACATTTTTGTTTTTGCATTTTGAAGTTAAAAATATAAAAAGATATACATGTAGAAAATTTAAAGTGAATTACCCATTTACATTGTGTTTTTACTTCACTTAAAAATAGTGTCGGGTGAACGCAGACTTTATTGGCTATGTGTATACATGAATTTTACACCTATATTTTTCACTTCAATATCCACTATTACTTCACTGATTCTTTTGTAGACATTTATTTTATATTGTAACGGATTTCTCGATAAATCGTCTACCTGTAACTCACTCTTGAGTTCGATCACTGGATTGTTAAATAAAAGTCCCAATTTAATGGCTACACACTTATCTTTATTTCTAATTCCAACAACTTAACACTTATTGCTCATTATTCGAGCTTACAACATCTTGCTTATAGCTTAATTGATCTTATCACGACAACACTCTAACTAAAACTGTGTTTGCTGCACAATCCGGCCCTTATATAGTAAATCTGTAACAAAACATTGCTTCTAGAACATTCTGGCAACTACGAATTCGCTAACTAGTTGCTTCTGGCAGTTTATCGTTCATTCGATTTTGGTCTATCATCTATGTTCGTCACAATATTATATAGTGCAGAAATAGCTATAATTCAATATTTTACTTATTGTTCAATTCTAGTATTTCACACAATAACAAATAGGTTGCAAAATAACAAACAACAAATAAGAAACGGTTTTATAGCTCAGACATGCGATATATCAGCTACAACATACCTACCCGAAAGAAAAAATATTTTCACAACAGCAAGTCCCCACCTAAGAACATTGCCAACCTCAATGGCAATGTATTTGACAGATGGTTCGCAAGAAGCTAACAGAAGATCTTTAAACTTTGGGTGTGTTCAGTGCAATCCATTGTAGTACATTACAGAACACTACATAATTTCAATGGTTTCTTGAACACTATTGTAATACAGAACACCATTTGCGTTGGAACAAAAATTGAAATTACGGTTGACACACATATGGTTTCTTTTGCATACTGCAACAGGTACTATATGTCCGTCTTTGCTATAACTTCGTTGCATGCCCTTTGGAACAAAAGTATCTTCCTTTTCTCTTTTGTGAATAACACCCACCAAAAAAAAACGAAATTATTATTTCGATGAACTCGTTGCAGCTACACCCATATTTACCGACAGATATTATTTTTCCAATAACTCTCATGTTTTGGATCCAATAATTAGCAAGAGTCATGCAAACCAGGACATCTTCGTGGCAATGCCATAACATAGGTTTGATCCTTGAGATTTGTTCTAAAAGGACATGGAACGAAGTTAGCAAATGCCTTCATAGGAAATCTGTGATATAGAAATGAGTTTTATTTTGAGATATTTATGATTTGTATTTATATATTATTTTTGCTCAAAAATAATGATTATATAAAATTTTTATTATTCTGGTGGGATTTGGGAATGTTTCTAATTGCATAATTCTCCAAAATTTGTTTCAAAAATATTGTTTTTAAATACTTTATGAATACCTACTTTTCTAAGAATATGTACTTCGTTAAATATTTTTTTATTGAAAAATTATTTTTAAGAAGTTTCAAATTACATTGATGTATTAATATGATTAAACTATTGATTATAATTGTCCCTTTAGAGCTGCATTCTTATACGTTGATAATTAGTTTTTTAGATCCATCAAACTTGCTATAACATAGGATTATTGTAATTTTACGACAAACGTTTAAATGAATCGAAGTCTACTAAACATAAGGATTCTTAATTTGAATGTTTTCCATTTCTGTAAGTATAATGTTACGAATTATTGCTCAACTGAGCATTTGAGCTATTTGAGCAATGTGCCAAATAAAGCACTAAACAGTGCTTATCAAAAATGTAAAATCATAGCTGTCACTTGTGTATTTTACCCCAATTACGGTTGAAGCAATTCAGCTTCAGATTCACCTTACTCTTGTTTGGTATTTCGAGCTTCAGCTATTTTCAGTCGAAGTTTCATTGGTGTTGCCAACCTAAAAAATGAAGATTTGACAGCTAATTAAAAAACTGAAAATTTTTAAACGTAAAATCAAAACAATTAAATTCAGATATTGCTTGTGAACAGGAGAAAAATTAATAAAATGAACATTAGTGGCTAACACACACACACACCACACCAATTCACATCCACGTTACCACACCTACTTACCATACATTCCACATCACTACACCATGCACCAACACGCACACAAATACAACTTAACCACGATCACACCACCATGAGGACATCAATATATAAGGGACTAGAAGAAGGATACCGCTGGCTTTTTAGCATTCGATTCGGTTACGACCACATCTCTCTATTCGAGCACCCGCCACTTCACTTCGCTTTCTTTCTTTGTACGAACGGTGAATGAAATCAAAATTGCTTTATTACCTAATTTAATTATGGTCCTTCGAGCCCTAGTGGATGGCACTATGGGGTACAAATAAAATAAAATTAAAAAAAAAGAACAAACAGTGAAAACAAGAACCGGTGCATTTTTTCAAAAAAAAAACAAGTGCAGTGACAAAGTGTACAAAAAAAAAAACCCAAAACGATGCAGTTACAGTTAGTGGGAAAAAAGTGCAGTGTAATAGTATAAAGAAATAAATACATATATATGTTCTATATAAAAAAAACATATAAAATCAAAAATTACTTCAGCACAAAAACAAAGGGCGCGAAACCAAAAAACAAAAAAATCTAAAGGCGGCGCGAAACCCAAAAATACACAAAAAAATATTAATCAAAAACGGGCGCGAGACTAAAAACAAAATATATAACAGCCAGCAACAAAAAACACACAGGAAGAGAGCTGCACAACAGGCATCAGGATAGCTGGCGTGAAGGAAGTTGGGAAAGAAGGGAAACCCAAAAAACCCTCAAAAATAAAACCTCGTACATTCTCCCCAAAACCCCCTTGAGGCCAGACAAAGTGAGTGTATCGTTTTCATTTTTCTTATTAATTATATATGTATGTTTGTGAATCCTGTATACCATTAAAACTAGGAAAATCCGTTTTAACAGTTTGAAACCACGGGTACAGGAAACGTTAACGGAAAATACATAACAAAAAAAACGGAACTAAAAATTTAAGTACTATATACTTATAATTTTTCCTAACGTTAACGGAAAGTTTTAAAAAACCGATACATAAAAAACCAAAAATCGGATGAATATAGTTATATACATATATATAATACTTATATTTACACATATACTTGTATGTATATATATATATATATATATATTATATTAACAAATTATTGATTGCCTAAACTTATGTGCTTACATTTGTATATATATATACACACAACAACCACAAAATAAAAAATAAAAATTCAAGTATTTACTTGCAAAGAATTTCCGGCAGTACCACTTAGGCTTAATAAAGCAATAAGCAGGGCTGCGTAACAAAACACACACACACACCCCATATACAGTAGGTACAAATACATATTTTTATTTCATTTAATTATTTAAATATCGATTATTTTAAAACTAATTAAACGGTGCGGTTAAATAGCAACAAAAAAATAAATAATTCCATAATAAAAAAAATTTTTTTTTTGCTAAAATAAAGCTAAAAAGAATAATATAAAAATTTCTCAACTAAAAATGCTTCGAAGTCCTTTTTGGCAAATATCCCGCAATACCCCTTTTTCATTGGCAAACATTTCAGCACAATAATTCGCGTATACCTAGGTACAAAGTGCATTGATCTTCAACGAGCTCTCAATTGCTCAAGTACATACATAAATACATATCTACAAGTCCACGCATTAGGGTGTACCTACATAACCCTACATAAGGACATAAAAACGATAAATAAATACAAGTTCGATTGTTAATAAATTCAAAAATAAATACGACCAGTAATTGTAAAAAACTAAATCCCCGTATTTAAGAAACTTAATTCGAATTAAAAACTCTTATTAACTAAAATACGAAAGCTAAACTTAATTTTGTCGAAAAAAAAGAAAAAACAAAAATCTCTATTTACTTAAAAGAGTTTCGTTATATACAAGCACGTACAACGTTCAAAACGACCTCAATAGAAGCTTCAATAGACCCTAAACCAGAACTGTGTACATTAGGACATAAACTTAAATCTTGCGATAAATTCAAAAAATTAAATATTGTCGATAGGACCAATTTTGTGAGAACAAAAAAACTTTGCACAAACTGCTTGTCACGTTCGCATACTCTAAAAGAGTGTGAAAGCAAATTCAATTGCGTTTATTGTCATAAACGACATCATTCTATGCTTCATATAAATATTTTTTCCAGTTCACCCCCAAACAGCGCAAATATGAAAAGAGCCACGGGTTTAGTTACAACAGCAAACCCCGAAGTGCGAAATCTCGAAAATTGCCAAGAAGCACCATGCTGCTCAGGGGCACTAAAAACTCAAACGCTACACAGCGAAAACCAAAGTAGGGTACTACTACCCACAGCAGTCGTCTCCATCGAACACCGAGGAGAGCTGTTTAAACTTAGGGCCTTAATAGACCAAGAATCACAACGATCTTTCATAGCGTCTAGGGCACAAAATAGGTTACAACTGCCAACAAAACAAGCCAACTTTGAAATCACGGGACTGGGCGGAAGAGTAGTCCAAAACTCAAACAAAATCTGTCCCATTACCCTAACTTCCCTCAAAGCGGATAAGCGCATTAAAGCAGAAGCTATTGTCTTACCGCAACTTACAAATATGCCTCCAAGCTATTACATAAATAGCAAGCATTGGCAAAAGGTTTCACACCTAAAGCTAGTAGATCCCAACTGCAACACTCCCGCTCAAATAGACCTTCTATTAGGCAGTGATCTCATACCACAGATAATACTCGAAGGTATTGAGAAAATTTCAAATACACTATTGGCACAAAATAGTATTTTCGTTTGGATCCTAAGTGGACTAGTTACGGAACCAGTTACAGCCATGCCCACTCAGGTTGAGGAAATCTCAAACGAATACCTCAATTCACAATTAAAGAAATTTTGGGAGTTAGAAGAACTCCCCCCTATATCAATTACAACCCCAGAAGATCAGTATTGTGAAGACTTTTACAAAGCCACAACTACTAGATCAGATAATGGTCTGTACGTCGTACAACTACCACTAAAACAACAATTTCCCAACACAATCGCCTTAGGTCACTCTCGCACCTCTGCAATACAGCAGTTTCAAAGTATGAAAAAAAACCTACTTAAAAAATGCGAACTCAAACCAGTATATGATAGTGTGTTGGAAGAATATCTCCATTTAGACCACATGGAGGAAGTAAGTCCATGGAAAAAAATCATCAACGGCAAATACTATTAATTTTACTTGCCGCATCATGCAGTGGTAAAACCAGACAAAGAAAACAACTAAAGAAAGAGTTGTCTTTAATGCATCAAGATCCACCATCATGGGGAATTCGCTAAATGATATCCTATTTACGGGACCACAAGTGGTAAAAGCCCCTCAACCTAACATCTTAAAGGACATACCTAAAGAAAATCTGTTGGACACTAAATTCCTTAAATTCGAAAAGGAAAGTACAACAAAAACTCTGGGGATCCAATGGAATGCGATATCTGACCAGTTTTTATACACTACAGAGTTAATATCAGCATTATCCGCTACTACAAAACGCCATATTTTATCCTCTGTGGCAAAACTTTTCGATCCCGCAGGATGGCCTTCGCCAATTATGATACAAGCCAAAATCCTAATACAAGAATTATGGTTAGATGGAACCGACTAGGACGAACAAGTAAAACCACTTCGTTTAGAAAAGTGGTTCCAGTTTGCGAGCAATCTAAATGATATCACACAGATACAAATCCCGCGATGGGTAAATTATGCCCCAGAGCACAAAGTCGAACTATACGGCTTCTGTGACACTTCTGAAAAGGCATATTGCGCAACTATATATGTTCGCACATAAAGCGACACTGCGACCACAAGTCACTTACTAGTTGCAAAAGCAAAAGTGGCTCCTTTAAAAACAATAAGTCTACCACGACTTGAACTATGTGGCGCGCTACTACTAGCCAAACTAGAATCCATGGTGCGAATGCATTTAAACATATAAAAATACAAATTATATGTAGTTCGATTGCGAAATTGTATTAGCATGGTTAGAAAAACCATCATTTGCATGGAAGACGTATATTTTCAATCGAACGTCTTGAATACTTGACCTAGTAGGATCAGCCACTGTGCGACTCGTAACTTTTGCTGACAATCCTGCTGATCTACGTACAAGAGGATGCAAACCCCTGCATCTTGCCACCACCACCCTCTGGTGGAATGGCCCCCCATTGGTTAACAGAATCTCCCGATTCTTGGTCACAATCACCCATGCGCAATATAATTGCCCCAGAAAGTCGAAAAATCGACTCTTTTCACACAACAGTGGATGATACCGACATCCTCGAACGATTTTCATCGTTACTCCGAGCCCTCAGAGTAATCGCTTATATGCTCAAGTTCATAGAGCGTTCCTCGACACGAAAGGTCTTCTTCGTGTGAATGGTCGGCTTGCCAATTCAAGCCTATTATATAACGAATCCCATAATTGTACCAGAGAAGTCTCGACTCGCCACATTACTCATCAATTATATCCACATATTAATGCTTCATGCCGATCATCGCGATGCGAACACAGATTATGGCAGCACTTCCTCCGGAACGCTGCAACTTTGCTCTGCCTTTCTCCATCACAGGGGTCGATTTTGCTGGGCCTTTTCAAATAAAGGCGTCCATGATAAGGTCTCCCACTCTGATGAAAGGCTATGTGGCTGTTTTTGTCTGTTTTACGATAAAAGCGGTGCACCTTGAGCTTTGTACTAGTCTTACGAAGGAGGCTTTCCTTCATCATTTGCCCGCTTCGTCGGTCGACGCGGCTTTCCATTGAAGATAATGAGCGATAATGGTAAAACATTTATCGGCGCTCAAAGAGCCACCGAAAAGCAATTTGTGCAATTTATCAAACAAATCTCGCCTGAGATTGTACAAAAGTACGCGCCCCAAGGCATTAATTGGCAATTCATCCCCCCAAGCGCTCCTCATATAGGTGGTTTATGGGAATCAGCTATAAAAAGCTTCAAATCCCACTTCAAAAAGTAGCTGGAAATTACAAATTAAATTACGAAGAATTCCCGACATTATTAATTCGAATTGAAGCCGTTCTCAATTCACGGCCTCTTACAATCCTTTTGCAAGATCCCTCCGATTTCACAGCCTTAACTCCAGGGCACTTTCTCAAAGGAACACCCATTCTGGCCATACCTGAGCCAGGCGTGGAGTCGCTATCCTTATTAAACCGCTGGGAAAGAATTAAAATTCTCCATCACGATTTCAGCCGCCGATGGAAAGAAGAATACATAAAGGATCTACATAAACTATACCGTTGGAAGACTCATGAACAAGCACCAAAACTTGGAGATTGTGTCATCATCCATGATGATTGTCTACCTCCTACCGAATGGCGGCTTGGGCGCATAGAAAAGCTACATTACGGCTCCGACGGTCACATACGAGTGATTGATCTTCGTACACAAAGCGGAATGCTAACCAGACCGCTCATGAATGTGCTTTCTACCAACCGCAGATATAAAGGAAAAAGCAAATGATAAACGATAAACCGATCATAATCCCGAAAACGCAATCGTGAAACTATGCTTTCTCCCAACCGCCGGTAATAGCGACACAGCAAATCGCAAACAATCAGCCGATACTACCGCAATACAATAAAATAATCAAATCAAGAAGCAAAAAACCGAAAAACTCGTTAATAACCCTTAAAAATAACAAATAACTAATAAAAAATGGTCGATCAATACGATGAAACATTCATACCACATAGCGTGGCACGATCATTCATATCCTTTATATTAGTTCCTCGTGGTAGCACGCGACCTTCACCGACGCTACCATCACTGCCTTCAGAGGCACATCGTATAGGATGTCCCATATGTCGGCGCCCACACCGCCTGCAACATTGTGGGGTTTTTTAGAAGTATGCGACCGTTGCAATGACAGCAAGTTGCCCAGGCACACGGCACTGTCTAAACCGCCTATCGCACACGCATGGGACTCAAGAGTGTGAGTCCACGGGTCTGTGCCAAATTTGCAGCAGACCACATCACACGCTACTTCATCGTCCTCGAGGCGCGACATCGGTCGGCCACCTACCCTTCGAAGCCGCGCAACAGGACCTCAACCCTCAACTCGTGCGGTACACCCGCGGAATGTAATAGCCTAGACCGTAACCACGTCGTTCCACGGGTCTGAGCAACGTTGTGGCAACGCTACAACAGCTGCAGTGACTACTAGGCTAATCATTTGCCTAGGGGGGCCGGGATGGCTAAATGACCACTCAATCCCCCCTCACCATAAGACACTGTTAGGTTAGGTTAGGTTAGGAGGTCGATCCCAGAAGGGATCCCAGCTGATGGACAGCTTAAGACGCCAGTCCGTTGTGATACCTACGACTCCTATAGTCCGGATCAAAAGACCCTTACAAGTCGACAAGACGTCTTGTGCTGACTACAAACTTGTTAAGACGGCCAATATCCATTACGGATAGGTATTCAGGACCGCCAAACGTGTGATTGCCGAGATATTTCAATCGCAGCCTAGCGAATGCCGGACATTGGAGGAGAAAGTGCTGGGATGATTCCACCTCGCCCTCCTCCATACAACTTTGGCAACTGGCATCGGGTAGTTTACCAAGCCGTACCGCATGAGTGCCCATTGGACAGTGTCCAGTGAGAACTCCTACAATAGCGGCTAGATGCACTTTGCTCAGGGACCGACCCCGACCCCGACCTCCTGCGATCCACTCTTGGCTAGAAGGATCTCGCGGTCGCACAGGACCTAGTCGTCGACCAACGTCTGCTGAGTGCACGCAAGGTCCATTGATCCAAAGTTAGAGCGCAGGACGCTAACGGAGATCCAACCCGATCCCATTCCGATGTGAGCGGGGCAAAGGTGCCCTCCCTGGCTAGCTCATCGGCTTTGCAGTTTCCAGCGATTCCGCTGTGACCAGGCACTCAAACGAGCCTGATGTTGACATAGCCAAACGCTACCTCTAAAGAGGACAGACACTCCTTGACTAGCTTTGATTGCACGGTACGCGCGCTCAAAGCTAGTATTGCTGCCCTATTATCAGAGTGAATGCTCACTTCTACAAACGAGGCTGCACTACGCAGCAGTACCTCTACCGCCGCATTAATAGCAGCCACTTCCGCCTGAAAAACACTACAGTGATCCGGTAGCCTGAAGCTAAGACTGACGGAGAGCTCCTTACAGAAAACCCCCCCCTCCAACCTTCCCTCCTAGCCTCGATCCATCCGTGAAAAAGCTCACCGCGCCTCTTCTCCAACGGCTTCTTCCCACCCACATCTCCCTCGTTGGGATATGAGCGGAGAAGGATCCGCCTCGAGTGGCTACAGGGACGCAGTGATCTATATTTTCCGGGATGCCGCTGAAGGAGGAAAGAATTTCGGAGTGCCCTTGTTCGGACCTCTTCAAAAGCCCAGCTTCCCTGAGCCTTTGAGCACACTTCGCGGCAATGCACCTACCGGCAATGTCCACAGGTGCTATGTTTAAAATAGCATTAAGAGCTAGTGTCGGTGTGGTCCGCAGTGCACCGGAGATTCCGATGAGCGCCGCTCTTTGGACCCTTTCAAGCTTTTTAGCCAGTGTGGTCCTCTCGAGCGCCCTCCACCAGACGAACACACCATAGAAGATTATTGGCTTAACTACGGTTTCGTAGAGCCAGAACACCACCTTAAGTGAGAGTCCCCAGCTTTTCCCAATAGCCCCTTTGCAGCAGTATAAGGCGACTGAAGCCTTCTTAACTCTCTCCTCTATATTTGGTCTCCAGGAAAGTTTGCTATCGAGAATGAGCCCTAGGTATTTCACTTTCTCAGCAGGCTGAAGAAGTGAACCCCCGAAGAAAGGGAGAGGCACATTTGGTATCTTATACCTCCTGGTAAATAAAACCAATTCGGTTTTACTTGGGTTGACGGCTAAGCCGCTTCTATTCGCCCACCTAGATACCACATTCAGGTGCCCTTGGGTGAGCTCGTAAACGGTATTCAGGAACTTTCCCTTAACCATAAGAACCACATCGTCAGCGTATGCTGTCACCCGACAGCCTTGCGTCTCGAGTTCTATAAGTAGGTCGTTAACCACCATTATCCAGAGCAGTGGGGAGAGTACTCCCCCCTGCGGAGTTCCCCTATTCACTTTTCTGGTGGCCTTGGCACCACCCCACTCCGCTGCGACAGTTCTGTCGCAAAGAAGACTAAAAATAAGGTGCTTGAGGTTAGATTTCACCTCAAACTTTTCGAGGGCTTTAACCACTGCCTCTGGTCGCACATTGTTGAAGGCCCCCTCGATGTCGAGGAAGGTGCCCACAGCAAATTCCTTGTGCTTGAGAGCTATCTCCAGCCATGACACTACATCATGCAAAGCAGTGTCGACTGACTTGCCTTTGATATATGCATGCTGCGCCCGTAACAGATTACCCCTCGGTATTCTGCTCCTAATGTACAGATCCATAAGCCTCTCCAGTGTTTTAAACAAAAACGAGGATAGGCTGATGGGTCTGAAATCTTTCGCACAGACGTGAGAGCTTTTGCCGGCCTTCGGAATGAAAGCAACCTTAACCTGTCTCCAGACCTTTGGGACATGGCCTAATCTGACGCAGTTCGCGTAGATAGGGGCCAGCCAGCTCAATGACATCTTGATCATGCGCTGCAATTGCGCAGGAATAATGCCATCGGGCCCCGGGGACTTAAAGGGCTTGAAGGATTTCAGCGCCCAAGTAAGGCGACGATCGTCCAGAAGGTCCAAGAAGGCTGTACAGCCCTCCTGCAGCTCCCCCAGTGATACTTCTTCAGCAGAGTGACTTAGTGGAAAATGAGCATCCAGGAGTAGTTTCAACGACTCCTCGCTACTCGTTGTCCAACTACTATCTGCATTTTTTAGATACCCCATTGGAGTAGGGTTTTTTGCAAGAATGCGCCTAAATTGTTAGGACTCATGACAGCCCTCTACCCTACCGCAGAAGGCTCTCCAAGAAACTCTCTTGGCTTTCTTCAACTCGGACTTGTAGATGGCCAGTCCGGCCTTGTACAACGCCCAGTCGTCGCCAGAGCCGCTTCTACGGGCTTTGTTGAACAATCTTCTGCTCGAAGATCTGATCTCCGTTAGCTCCGATGTCCACCAAGGGGGTTTCCCTTTGATTTTCTGAGTTCTCAGAGGACAGGAGCTGTCAAGAGTAGTTCTACTAACAGAGCTGAAAATCTCGACGAGCTCGTCAACCGCATCCGCCGATAGGATCGAATCCCTGTCGGGTGCGGGTGGCAGAGCTGATCGAAGCTTCCTGCAGTGCCGGACCCAGTTGGTATTCCTAAAATTTCTATAGATTTTGAGTTCCGGGCATGAGGCTTTCAAGCTGAGAGAAATATATCTATGATCCGGGAATGAATGGTCGTCTAGAACCCTCCATTCCGAAATTAAGGGAGCGATTTCCCTAGAGGCTAGCGTAATGTCAAGGACTTCCGCCCTGCTAGCAGTAACAAAAGTAGGGCTGTTCCCCCTATTACAAATAGAAAGATCTACTCTACAAATAAAATCAAAGAGTGACTCACCTCTTGTGTTAATGTCCGAGCTCCCCCAGACGGTGTGCCTTGAATTTGCATCCGAGGCTATTAAGACACCGGCTCCTTTGCGCCTGGCCTCTGCCAGGGCTCTTCTCAGCAGGTTCGGGGGTGGCTCCACCTCGTCGTCGTGCGGCATGTAGGCTGAGAACAGCCAGAGTTCTCCAGCGCTGTCCTCCAGTCTAGCAGCGACGACGTCCTCGTTGCTGAAATTATGTAAAAGAAAAACGTTAAGTTCGTTTCTGATCACCAAGCAGGCTCTGGTTCTACCTGTACTGTTTGCGGCCAGGAGTTTGTGGCTCTTTGTCCTTAGACCAGAGATACCGTTGCTGCTCAGCCACGGTTCCTGGATAAGGACAACGTCGGCTTCATCCCGTCCTAGACGAAGCACTAGATCGGCGGAGGCCGCCTTCGAGTGCTGGAGGTTAATATGGAGGATCCTCATCCTCCAAACTCCTCTCCAGCACTGCGAGTTCCGCACCTTCATCCGTACTATCGACCCCAGCAGCCTCAAACAGACGGTCGAGACTGAAAACGGATCCATCATCGACTGACGATCCGCCCGCCGTGCTCACCGTATACGAGAGGATGGGGTCGATATCCATTTTAGAGTGGGTCGCTCTCCCACTCTCTTCCACCTCAGCTGGTGGCGACAGGCCATCAGCTCTGGCTTCATTTGGGAGAATCCTGAGGACGACCCTCTCGAAGCCATAGCTTATGGCCCCCTTTGCACTGCTGAGAGGAGCGAGGGACTCCTTATTTAGGAGTATCAGCACTCGCCGATATGGTTGCTTGGTCCTCTCCAGCCTGACCACCTTCCAGTCCTGGGTGGGAAGAGATGGATTGCAGTACCGCAATATCTCTTCAATTTCGGTCGGGGTGGAGGGTTCGGCCGGAAGCCAGACACGAGCACGAGGTCGCATCGGAAGATCCGATTTGGCCACCGCCTCGAGCCTTGCTCCCTTCCATACTTCCCCCACCCTGGCTACCGCTTCCTTATAAAGGAATGCCGACCGTTCGTCGGCACACCTTACAAGTTTTTGTAAGCCGAGATTCCACCCGGCACTTTCACATCTAGGGGGTGGTCCAGGGCTTCCCCTGACCACCTTCATGAACACTGCGGAGATAGCAGCCGCTACCCGCTTGCACTCTTCATGGGAGATGGCTCCATCTCCCCTGCTGCTGTCGTATACCCCGAGCTCAATTGAGCTGGCGAGTTTAGCGATTTCGCTAAACATCGGTGCCGCTCCGACTCGAGGCTTCTTACCGAGGGAGGATTCCCCCTCCTGCGACCTCTGTCGCTTCATCGACGCGGGGGCTACGCTCGACCCCCTTTTCCCGACATTGACGTCGCTTAGCACCCTTTTGGCCCACTCAAGTGTGCTAGCATGCTGATCAGTTTTCTGGTCAGCCTGCTTGCCACCGTAGCGCTCCAAAATCTTAGTAGCCAGCCGACGGTCCTACTTCAGCTTTTTAGCTGTAGTCTGGCGTTTCCCCCCGGAGCCCTTAGCTGTCACTGAGGACCCCGCGCCCCCCATATACTTAACAGAGGTTCCTCTGCTAGTGCTAGCGATTCCGCCGCGCACTTCTGCCCTGCCTAAGGTGTCCGTCGGCAGATTCCTGCCCACTCCACCCACGTTACCGCCCCTAGCGATGGTAAGCCGGTCACCTCCGGAATTATTCTTCTCACCCTTCGGCGGAGACGGTTTCGTCCCCATCGGTGAGGATGCCCCCCCCGGGGAACTGTCCACTTTTGAAGAGGTCGATTTCGACCCGCTTCCTCCCTCGTCCTTGTTTAAGTTTTGTTGTTGTTTTGTGTTCATTGTAATTGGGTCCCCACTCAGAGCCGCTATCCGTCTCCTGGAAAGGTAGTCGCCTTTAAATGGTCCCAAGGTTGTCTCGGTTACGAGGCCAAGGCGAGGGTTGACGCACGCCCTTATGAGGCAGTGCGTTCAGAGCCGACCAACGCAAAGAAGGAGTCATCTCAACAAACACCTACCACACCAACTTAATGATGACAGGAGGGGAACACACTCTGAGGCCTGCCATGGTTTTAACGGGACGGAGGCGGCCTTGGTATTAGCCCATCAGCCATTTCTGCAGGGTGTTACCCCTACATACTCAGGTGACAGAATACCACCACCACCAGCCCAGGGTTCAAACCGATCCATCTAATAGTTAAGCTAAGTCCGTGTCGAGCAAAGGTCAAATCCGTAGGAGTTATAAAGGCCGTGAAGGCCGCAGGTCATTTAGCGTTACCCATTATGCACCGCGTGGAGGCGAACCTGCTCTACATCCCATAAGACACTGTCACACCACACCAATTCACATCCACATCACCACACCTACTTACCATACATTCCACATCACTACACCATGCACCAACACGCACACAAATACAACTTAACCACGATCACACCACCATGAAGACGTCAATATAGGTATAAGGGACTAGAAGAAGGATCCCACTGGCTTTTTAGCATTCGATTCGGTTACGACCACATCTCTCTATTCGAGCACCCGCCACTTCACTTCGCTTTTTTTCTTTGTACGAACGGTGAGTGAAATCAAAATTGATTTATTACCTAATTTAATTAATTATTTTTGATTTATATTACGATTACAAAAATGTTGAGGCCAAAACTGATGTAATGAGCATAAGAATAAGCCTTCGTGATCCCCCAATTCCATTGGAACTTTCTAACACCAAGTAAGCCATAGTTTTTTTGACTATTAAATGGCTTTTGAATAATGTTTGTTGCAGATTCATAAGTCGAAACACGGTTCCACGGTCCTATAATATTATTTTTGCTGTTTCCAAATTATAGCTTACCTCGTCCAGCTTCGGGATTTTTTTTGCGTTGTCGCTGTATATCGACCGCGTATTTTTAATGTAGTATATATTGGACCACGAAAATCTACGCCACATATGAGAAAGGGTCGTAGCGCTCGAAGTCTTTCGACTGGCAAATTTCCCATTATTTGGGTTTGCAACTTCGGCTTGTAATGAAAACAGTGTGTACAGTTTCTTATGGTTCTACTGCATGCTTCTCTTGCATTAATCAACCATATGCGTTCTCTAAGAATTCGCAACCAATGCTTTTGCCCCAGCGTGGTGATTTCGAAAGTGCAGGAACCGTAAATAAGTGTTAACGAAATGCAAATTTTTATTGAGTAAAAAGGGGAATTACGCATCGTATGGGAGGGGTGCATTTAATAGGCGACCTCCTACTCGGATTAATTTGAATGAAAGCGACACATCCTAGTACTCATGCAAAAACGGATTGAGTTTTGGCAAGTTTGCGGGTAGCGTGGTGCCTTTAGTCAGTTTTTGGATTTCATTCGCAAATTCTGAATGTTGGACCACCTGAACAATTTTCAAAAAACTCAAGTGTAATTCATCTGATGTCAGATCCCTTCCCACAGTAGGCAATTTTGGTCGTCTAATCCACCGTAATAAATATGCGACCAAACGAAGCAATTTTTGAGGAGAAGATATTTTTTCGATAAGGTCCATTAAAGCATTGTCTTTCACATTTGCAGCTAGTGTGAAAGTATTTTTCTTCTTCTCTAATGCTTCGTCTTCTGGAGAGAGCTGGAAGTGAGTGTTAATTGGTCACAAAGCGGCTTCTTCTACGAGGAACTGTGGACCGCCAAACCATATCGAATTATTCAATTCGTCCACGTTGCAATCCCGAGACACTTGATCCGCAGGATTTTGTTTTGTTGGCACATGTCGCCAATGTACTTTGTCAGTCAATTCTTGGATTTCGGACACTCTATTTGCGACAAAGGTTTGTAATGTAGATGGATGTGTTTTACCCAATGCAACACGATTTGAGAGTCTGTCCAAAATGTAATTTTCTCGAATCGTCGACTCAACATAGGCGCTACTCGTGACCATAATTTGGCAAGAAGATGTGCTGCTGAGAGTTCGAGACGCGGAAGAGACTTGGTCTTCAGCCACTCTAGACTTTGCAGTAAGCAGTATACATTAGACACCACTAGCAGATTGGCTTCGTATGTATATGCAGCATCCGTACGCTCTTATTGAAGCATCGGAGAAGCCATGTATTTGGCAGATAGCACTCGACTCTAGGTTTACGTACTGAGGAATGCTAATAGATGAAAGCTGCAGTAAGTTGGCTTTGAAATTTTCTCATCCCAATCTAGTTTTTGGATCCAAATCTCTTGCAATAAGATGTTTACTTTGGTGACTAGTGGGGCTAATAATCCAAGAGGAAAGGCTAGAAGAGACTGACAATATGTTTCGTTTAGTGGCTCGCAGATCATTAAAATTGGCATCTAAAACAAATCGAAACAAGTCTTCGGCAACCAATGGATTCCTAGTGTTTTAGTTGAGTTTTTGTCATTGAAGCTTAATGACTTTTCAGTGCAGTCACTGTCGAAAAAATTAGGGTGGTTCGAAAACCACTTCGTTTAGGTGAATCCGGCCGAGTTTATTATTTTAATTACCTCACTTCTTATAAGATCTAGAGACTCAAAATTTTCAGATCTTGTTAATAAATCATCAACATAAAAGTCTCTTTTTATGGCCAATGAACCGAGTGGATACTTAGTTATATTAGCATCGCTAAGCATTTGTATGTTCATGTAACCCAATGCTTTATACTCATTCATGAAGTCCAGATACATTTTACGAAGTTCTGGATCTTTCAATGTTCTTCTCTCCAGCGCATGAAACCGCCGAACTGCATAGGAGTGATCGAATAACTTACGGGCATTCTGACTTGAAGCCTTCCAGAAGGTAATACTTGAGTTGTATTAACGAAAAACTTTTCACAGTCTTTTTGTTATGGTGTGAATTTGCTGCCATTTGTTTCTGAAGGAAGTTTCTCCAGAGCCCAAAACTTTTGGACTACTGAATTTATTGACGTTAAGTCTTCTTCAGCTTGGCATAATGTGCTATTTGCTTCCGGAAGAGGACTTACACTACTGACGTATTTGCCAGACACAATCCATCCCAAAAGAGTTTTCTGTAGCGTTGGTTGATTAGGACCACTTTTAATTTAGCCAACAGTTAGCAGATCGAAAAAGGCTTCTGCACCCAATAACATATCAATCTTTTGGGATTTTTGGAATTCTGGATCCGCCAATTTAATATTGTGTGGAATTTTCCAGCCATTAACATTGATGTTATGGTCTGGATGATTTGCCGAAATACATCGCATAATCCAGAATTCCGCCGAAAATTCGAAACTATTTACCCGGGACTTAACAAATGCGTTTAATTTTGCCCCGACTTTCGTGTTGGAATTTCCAATTCCTATAATATTTAACGTCCTCTTTTGTCGTCTAATCCGCAATTTTTGGGCCAAATCCTCCGTCATAAAGTTGACTTGTGATCCTGAATCCAACAATGCTCTAGCGGGCAGGTATTCTCCACAGCTGGTTCTCACAAGAATAACTGCTGTTGCCAACATTACACGATCTGATACGCTTGTTGTATGCATGGCATGTGTAGTTGTTGTTGGTTGCGGAGGAGGTGCAACAGCAAGTGAAACGGGATACTGGTGCAGTAACGTATGGTGGGATCGATTGCACACGCAACATCGATCCGCCCTGCACTTGGAGACCGTATGTCCCTTACACAAACAATTTATGCATAAGGGTACCGATTTGGCAAACTCGAATCACAGAGAGAGTTTTGAAAGTGGGACAGGCGGTTAAATAATGGTGCTTTGATTTGCACTGCTGACAAGCCGGCTGCTTTGTATTTGCAGCAGCTAGAGCTGACTTCGTCCTGTCCATTTGGGATTGCTTAATGTGACTTGCGCTGGCTGCGACTATGGGTCTCGTCTTCAAACACGATGCTCCTTCTGCCGTCTGTTCAAAGTAGCTTCACAATCCTTCCACAATGGGAGCTTGTCGTTATCCAGATGTTCTTCCCACTTGAACCGAGTAATAGAGTCAACCTTTGTTATGACTATATGTATGATAATCGCATTTGTTATATGTTTCTCATCGCCCAACGATAGCAATGAGACATAAACAGCTGACACTTCATCGATCAACGCGCGCAATGAAGGTGCTGATAGCTTTGGGATAGTTGGCAGCTCAAAAAGTTTTAAATTGTATTGAAAAATATCAAACATTTATTATCGTAATCTTTTTTGAGACTTGCCAATGCCTTCGGATAATTTTCATCCGACATTTGAAATGCCTTTACCGTTCCCAAAGCTTCTCCAGATAGACAATTAACCAAATGGTTAAATTTTTCAATATCTGGGATATTTGGATCATTATGAACAAAACGTACAAACAAACTCATGAAATTTTTAAATTCCGAATATTCTCCCTTGAATTTCGGCAGATTCATTTTTGGGAGCCTTGAGCTGTGAGATGTTACAAAGGATGTTTCGGCAATAGACGTTCTATTTTTTGCTAAAATTGTTTTAATTATTGACTTGGTTTCAACAATTATGTTCTCCAACTCCCCTCGGGCCATGTCGTCTTCATCAATTTCTTCAATCTTAGATTGGCATTTCATGAATTTTTCACTATGTGAATTTAATATGTCGAGACGACATTCCAATTCGATTGGATCTAGAGACATAGTCTTCTCGAGAAGGCCCGTTTTTATGCGCAAAATGCTACTTTTCGCCACCGTCCTTTGACGCTTAAGGATTTTAAGTCGATCAACTCCTTACTTGAAGAGAGGTTGGCGATAGTTGGCTTTGGCTTGCTCATTTTGGCTTTTTTTAATTAAAATTCACGAAAAACAATAGAAGTTGGCACAGAAATAAATCTGAAATATTAGGAATCGATTGACGAAAAAGAAAAAAAATATCGTTTCCCAATTGTACGAAAAGCCAAACCAAAGATATGCAAAATGAGCAATAGCACTATTAAAATTTTTTTTTTTTTTTTGAAAGCGAGAAATTTTTTTTTTTAATTGATATTTTTTGGATAACCGAGAAAATTTGCCAAAAAACTGACCGAATTGTAAAGTTTTATTAAATTTCCAATTATAAAAATGTCGCACCTTAATGTTTTCGTATAAATAGGGACGCTACCGCAAATCCCACAATCCCTTAACTTCAAAATGAATATGCACATATACGTATTTGAATAGTATATAATATGTGTATAAAAGATGTATATAAAAAGTAGTGAATAAAAGGAAGAGCCAAAAACGGAAAGTGTGCACTTGCTTTTGTTTTATTATAATTTTTTTATTTATCTTTTTCTTTTGTTCGCACCACTTTCAGTAATTCGCACTCGTTACCTGTTGTGAATGCGTAGGCGGTTTGCCTGCGGGAAAAACAACTAACGTAGCGATGGCTTTTTTTTTTTTTTGCTTTTACCGAACGGCAATTTTGGGAACTTTTGTTTTTTTTTTTGAAACGGTCTTACCTCTGGTCTTTTCAGTTTTGCATGCATTCATAAAAATTCGCTTAATGATCATATAATATCAATGCAAACTTCTGAGCATAATATTCATTGAATGCTCAGCTCTGTTCACATGCCACGGTTAAGATTTCTCCTTCCGAGCTAGCTGTGGGGAAACACGCTCATCGTCGTATTTTGTTAGGTTTTGACAATTCACACGCTGGTCTGTAGTTGGACCTTCTCTATATTTTACATTCTCTGCTTATATCACAGTATACAGTAAATCAGCCATTGGCAGCAGTATGATTAGTTGACAGTGTATACATGAATCTCTCATTAACCCATAGAACGCACCTAGTTTAAAAAATCACTACCATTATTTTTATGTGCTTTTAATGTAAATTTTTGTCATAGAATAATTAAAAGATTTAAAATAAAACTCACCAATTTAAATAACAAAAAGTATTTGGTATATTTTGTTTAAATTTTTTTTTTTTAATATAATTTCACAGCAAAAAATTGGTAAATGTTTACTTTGGGTTAACACAAATGACAATTAGGAAAGAAAAATCAACCAATACAAACAAATAATTTGTCAAACAGGTATATTTACATTTATTGTTTTTCTTAGCTGATTTACTGTATACCGTGATTTATACGAGGTTATCCTAGGTGAAAGTGCGTTAGTGCTAACTCAAACTATTAAAGCTATGACTATGACGTTGTTAAAAGAAATAGAATTGGAAGAATTGGGACTGCCAACAAGCGAAAGAAAATCAGAGTTACAGATTTGTTTGATCTGACGTCTCGGTTTAAATAATGGTAAATTTAGCGACGAAGAATCGAGTGCTAGTCAGTATAAAGACGTGGGAACAGTGGGACCCATAGTATTTCTTCATTTACTGGTACAGACTCCATAGACGTTAATCAGTTGGCAATAGAATTTGATGATGAATGAATTAATTTGCAAATGTTTATTTACGCAAAAAAACTTTTAAGGAGTGCAGCTAAATTGTTCATTAGGAGCGTAAGTGGTATACATACGTGTTTGGTCGTCTTTAAAAATTATACTCATTGAAGACTTTGATGCAAACCTATCTTCAGCTGATATACACAATAGTTTAAGGAATGCTCATAAAAAAGTATCAAAATCGTTTCTTGAGTATTTATGCTGTTTAATTGAAATTAGGAAACATATACGAATTGATGATGAAAGTGTTATTGAATATTTTGTAAATGGTAACATATTTCAGATTGCAAATTAATAAAGTTCTTTTATATCAAGCCCGAAACATCAGTGTACTAAAAATCAGATATATATACATATATAAAAAATTCGGTCGACGCAATAACTTCATTCTAGAATTCCTCAAAATCAATCTGATATTCAGATGTCAAAGTAAATAGTAAAAGTGCTGGTAAAAATAACAAATGTTTCAAGTGTGGTGAAGGAGCACACATTTCCAGGCAAGCAATATCGCTGTTACAAGTGTAATAAGATAGGGCATCGTTTTTTTTTTATGCAAAGATTCATTGAGCAATGCAGTAAAG